TTTCATTACCAACATCAACTAAGGAACCCCATATGAACAATTTTGCCACCTTTCATACAACCATGTATATATTCTGAATTTTAACCAACGCACGTTATTGAAATCCTTCTTTATTCCTTTCTTTTGCGACCATACGCTCGTTATAACAGGAGCAATAGTTTTATTCTCACTGGTTAAATTTCATTATGTAAAAATTGTATTTTTACTACTTTAAAAATGTTAATCTTGAAATAATATTTAATCGTCTAGGTTGTTTCTTGTTTTTCTTTTGTGAGAATTCCCTTTAACAGCAAGGGGACAAGGCAAATTAATATCAAGAAGCAGAAGGCATTTGACATGAAGAAGGCACAAGGTTACAAGCCAGCTGCAGAGAGACTAAAAAGAATTTTGAAGTTCAAGTGAAAATTCTCCTGCAGTTGGACAAAGAACGAAAAGAATTCAAAGAAAATTTCCCAAGCACGAACAGCGAATTTATAAGGGACTTTTCTAAAATTACTATATATCCGAGAGACTTTTTTTTTTTTTTGCCTTTTTGAATTTTTTCTCTTTTTGTCATTAAATCCTTGTCTTTTTCTAAACTGTAACCTTTTTACCATTTTTCGATGGTAATCCTTTTTCGAAACAGAAAATTGTTCTGCTGCCTTAATAAGTGTGTAGCAATTGCTATGTTTTTCCACGCCCACATTTTATTCGCCTGCGGTTGGCTAATAAATCACTAATACTTTTATATAGGACAATTTAGCCATTGCAGTCGTTTCTCCGAATCCTTCGGTTTTCTTGTTCTGTTAGTACGAATGTAGTGACTGGTTAATTTTTAAACCAATCACATATTTTAGTGCAACATTAAATTTTCCCGCATTGCCGTGGGAGCCTATCCTTTTTCCTTAAAAGAGGCGACTTTTCGCAAGTCGTCAGTAAGAACCCGTAAGAATCCAGCCGTCAGCACAAATCCACGATCTTGTCACATTTCAAACGCACACACACAGAATTTTCGTAATATAAACTTACATTTCTCTCTGTGACTTTGCCAAGTTCAATCAACCAGAACTCTTTTGATCCAAACCATTCTATACACAACACATAATTGTATTCTTGTGTTATTTATTCTTAACATGCATACTTGCTCTAATATTGATTTCGAACAATCAATTGCAAATCATTCTATAGTTAAAGGGGAACAACTTCTTTCCCTTAATCTATACAATGAAAACAATTTTATTGCATGTTTGTTCCTTATTTCAATATATATTTGTTGATTAACAATTTGGAGTTATTGTTGTTTACTTGAATCCTGTCCGTTGGGAATATCGTTAATATAAATAGTATTGGTCTATCTACAATCGGACACCTTTATAATTGGTAACACCGACGTTCCAAAAATAAATCTTTCAACCAATGAATAGACCATTACAAGTGCACAAAAGGAAATTTTTGTGCAAATTTTGTATTTGTACCTTTTTTGTTTTTTCTTGTGTAATAAACGTTTTTCCTTTAAAATTTTACACAGTGGTTGAGTTTTATTTTGTTATTTGCGCTTATTTTGACCTCAAAGAGAAGAGAAACACGCGTTCTCTTTTCCCATTCTATTCCTATGTTCTTGTGTTTGGCACGAGAATTTAGATTTGGTAAGCAGTTAAAATTTTTATAATTAACATTTTATTTATTTTTAACACAGTAGCCCTTTAGGACGTAAGCGATCGTGGCATTCCACGCATTCTTTTTTAAGTTTAAGACTTTCAACAACGGCAACAACTAAAATGGATAGTACAGAGAGAGAAAATAATGACATAATCATGCTATTATTCCGCTACTTAAAACAAAATATTAGGAAGGAAGACCCCCCCCCCATCAATACTGAAAAGAGCAATAACAACTACTGGACTTGAAAAACTTATTTTACTAGAAAATTGTTTTAATAGAAAGATTTGATAGATTTCAACCGACTGTAGCAAAGGCTGTGATTTGAAATGACATGAATTTCCATGTCATTTTTGTAAAGATACTGAAGTCTTTCATCACCTACTCAGCCGTTTTGAATTCGGAATTGTCATAGACTAGCTACTACCCGGTAAAGGCATGAACCCATCTCTTATATAACAGATGGATTCCTGCCTTTCTTCCCAAGGACATTAGTGGACTTCACTTAACAGCAAACTTGTCGATTACTCGCACTTCAAAGCTTTTAGTTACACAAGAAGCAAAAAGTAATTCTTAAATCTTAATTCTCTTCCGAGGTAGAAATTTGAAGAGAAAGGTTTAGGTTCCTGATTCAAATTTCAGTAATTTAATGTTAGCTTGGTATAAGATTTTAGGGAATTTATGAAGAGTATGCTGCTCAAGTGGCAAAAGAAGCTGCTACCTTTGAAAATCAATATTCGCGCTCGCTATCTGTAGTACTCACCACCTATAAATCCAATCGATGTCATTTTTTAGTCATAATGCGGCAAATTAAAAATAAATAGTTCATGATGTGGAACTAAAATACGAAGGGTCATTATTTTGTCCTTTCACCGTGCGAAATTGTGTCTGTCAATTTTTGTTCCGCTTTACAAGAAACAGTAAAATATTCATTCTGTTTCAAGTGAACATTTATTGAATCTCTGCATGTGATTGATCCGGGTGACTTTAAACTGGTAAGGGGAAAATCTATCTACTTATGTTTATTTGTACAATTTTAGGGGCAGCTGTAGAATTAACCAAAGATTATTTAGATTTTGTTTTCAATTTTCGTGAAATCACAAAAAGTAAAAGTCAAACTTCAACAAAAAAAATGAAATTCTGATTTCAGAAAGACATTTTGCACTCGAAATTCAGACATTTTCGAATTGTTCTTCTTACGTTTGCCTTTATTTTATTCGTTTAATAAGAAAATCGAAATAATTAGACGAAACTGCCCTGTCGTTTGCTTTTTTTAGTTTTTACTTTATCACAAAATATTGTTTGTTTTTCTCACCTTTTTTTTAGTTAGAGAAGTTGGTTGAGTTCGTTTAAACTTTATTTTAAATTAAATGTACATTACATTTTAGAATTTAGAATCTGAAGCATTTTCCACGTTACGAATACTGAATTACTTCCCTTGATTGCTTTACCTAGCCTCATATTTGGACCATACATTCATTCCATCATTAAATTAAAAATTAATTTAGTTTCTGTGACCAATTTGTAAAATGAAAATAAATAATGGTCGGGCCTATCTCTGAATATGAAGTCTTACATCAGAAATAAAACTAAAAATAGAGCCCGAAATTCAATATAATCTTCATTTTTGCTGTGTTTTATCCCGATTTCGTCCACAAAATGAAAATTCAAGTCTAAAATAAAATGCTTTGATTTGAAAATTCAGATATTATTGTGGTATTTGTTGAAATTGAAATAAATCTGATTTTTTTTCGGTCAGCAATTCATTGATCGTCATTTCTATATTCCAGTTAGTTTGAAACATTGTTGAAAAATTCTTTGTTTTTATTTTAAATATGAATGTCATTATTTTTGGATCTTCTTAGTGAAGATGGAAAAATAATAGTGAAGTGCATTTCATTTTGTTTTGTTGGAGGAAAAGATTTTATTAAGAAAAAATCGAACTGCTTCGTACAAAGTTTTTTTTTTTTTTTTTTTTTTAAAAAAAGTCAATTTACCCCAAGTTAATGTCCCCCAGTATAAGTTTGATTTTATTGATTGACTATGGCTTTGTATTTGTTTGCAAACCCATTGTCACAAAAAATATTCAACATTTGCCTTTTTTTAATTAATTGAAGATTTAAATAATTTTAAAAAGTAATTTGTTTCTCTAGTTACTAGTTGTACACGGTGACGAGAAATATTCGGTTTTTCAATTTTATTTTTTCATTTACACTGTAAGTAAGCAGTCCAGATCGCAAATATCAAAAGAATTATTAAATTTTATTTCTATAAGTTAATGGTGGTGGTCCAGTTTGCCATTTAAATTCAGTGTAAGTAAATTTAAAAATTGATGATCCTCTCTAGTCTACGAAAGCCAAAACAAAATTATGCTCATACCACGTGATCTTGAAGCTTAAAAAAAAATAATTCGTTTGTTTTTATATTTTTCATATCGATTAAGTACTCCAGATAAAAAAAAAAATGGTAAATTTTTATTTTAACACCCGAGCGCTAATATCCCTTCAAATTTTTCCAAAATAGTCTTATTTCCGTGCAAATCTTTTTGGATGTTAACGACCCGAAAAAAATCGAACTTTTTCCTGGTCTTTCGTCGTCAGCCATTACCGGTTTATTGATAAGTAATTCAGTGCTGAATTTTGTTGGTGGACATATACAATTTGGGCCTATTTACTTCCTTCACAGTAATTCCTTGTAGAAATTAGTACGCGCTTCCGTAAAGCGATTTTTTTTTTGTACTTAATTTAAGAAGAAAGTTAACTTTCAAATATATGTAAACATCGACAAATAAAAGAATAACAAAAGGAAAAAAAAACCTAACCCTAATTTGAAAGTTAACTTTCTTCTTAAAAAAAAAATTACTTTGTTATTCTTTTATTTGTCGATGTTTACATATATTTGAAAGTTAACTTTCTTCTTCTTCAAAAAAAAAATCGCTTTAATGTAACTGTACTATTATTTTATTTATTTTTTTAAATAAAGCAGAAATTATTTATGACTCAACCTAATTGACTTATCAGGGTGTTTTATCCTTGGTAATCAATTTCATTCATTCCTACCATATTTTCTCATCTTACCATTTTCTTGTGACTTCATTCCTTACTGGGCGCTCTTGAAATGTTGCCTTATGTCAAAATCAGCATCAGTCAATAAAATCTGTTAATTATGATATCCTTATCAGGTGCTCTATTAATCTGGCCAAATGACAATAAATTTAGCAATCATATCAATCAGTAATAACAGGATAACAATGTTTGTCTTTTTTGTTTTGATAATTATTTTGTTTTGTGTAGTTATTTTCACTGTGCTGTTTTCTCTATATAGATATTTTGTCTTGATTTTGACTGCGAAATAATTGTGCCATGTCTACACCTTCAAAATCTGCTGACCTTCCACGAGGCTTGATTGACCGCAAGGGCACACCTGCTGGTCGCAGTACAAGGTAAGTAATTGGTAGAAATTCTTGTTATTCATCATTCATTTCTATGTCACTAACTCCTCAGTCAGTAAATGCTGAATGTTTCCTTATAAGGAAATGGCTATTACCATGATCATACTCCTTGCTGACATAAAAACCAAGATTAGCAGAAATGAAAATAGGGAAAACTTTTGCCAACCTATGAAACCAATTTTTTTCTAGCCAAATAAAAATGCATCTAATGCATTGGTATTATGAATAAAAAGCAAAGTACTAAAGGTGCAATCTATTCAATTAGTATGATGCAGTTTACTAAATTTTTATTTCTTCTTTATTCCAAATATAATTCAGATTATTTCCTTTGCTATTTTTTATCTCATTTCTTTCAAAATATTCTTTGGCCTTCTTAAAATTGGCTAAATTTCTAAAATGAAACATCTGTCCTGGGTATGATGATAAACTACATCTGGAAGCAAGGACTCTGATCGGTAGGTTTTGAGGAGGAGCATGGAGCCATCTATTAATTTTTGTTGTTCCCAGATCTACCTTGACACAGGACGGTAGCACTTGTTAGGGTCTCAGCTATGGGCAAATAGTTAAACCACAAACTGGGGTCAAAACACTATGAAAGTATAAAAAAAATTATAGTAAAAATACCAGCAATACATTTTCACAGTAAAAAATTACCAGCAATACATTTCTTTTAAAAAAAAATATTTCCAGCAATATATTTTGTTAAAGAAATTACTAATGCTCCCAAGAAAATTAAATTTTGGCATTAAATAATCCATAAGTTGATATGCCACTAAACAAAGTGAAACATTTTAAATTTTCTGACCTATTATCTTGCTTTAACAGTGCTTCAGTTTATGTGATTTTGTGCCAAACTGAAAATCCTTCAACTCATGACATAGATCAACCAAAGAATGGAGTTCAGTCACAATTAGCACATGAACATAATACACAGTCATGTGATTCTGTTTAACTGGTACATTCAAATGAAAAAAGGGAAACCAAAAAGAGAAAGTACTAAGTGAATTTTAAAGACTTGAGCTAATTTGCACCAGAAAAAGGTTGATGAATAGATCAATTGAAACTGTTTTAATAACAACAAACATAAAAACTATAGTACAGATAACATAGAATAATTAAAAAAAAAACAGCAATCCTTCATCTTGTGTGTAACTTCATCTTATAGATTAGACCATTGAAGCAATCAAATTGCAAAAATGATTGTAATTTTAATATTCTTTGCTGAAAACATATCATCTTTTATGAAAATATTTGTATTTCAGAAAGTAGTTACTGTTAATATTACAAATCATAAAAAAAAATCTGTAGCAAGATATTTTTTTAATTATTGAACTAAAGAAAAAAATTGTTTCTCAATATTATTTTTAAGAAATCATTATCTTTTTAATTTTTTTTTTTTTTTTTTTACAAAAACAAAATCAGAAAATTTTTTTAAATCTAATTTCTTCCTGTCTATACAACTGCTTCCTAAGACCAATGGTGAAAAAAGGCTTTGAACGAGTAAAGCCTGAGTATCTTAGCAAAGATCATCCTTCCTCTTTGGATATTGTGGACTGGCGCTACAGAATCACAAACAAAGAACTGTAGAAAATAACAGAAACCACATCATTTGAGGACTACCAGCAGCAAACAGCAGCGACAACTAAAATGAATAGCGGATGTAACTCCGAGAGAAAATATTGACATAATCAAGATGTTAACAATGCCCACCAATTCAAATAGAATGTTTGGAAGGAAACCACCATCAATACTGGAAAGGGCAATAAAAGCTACTGGACTTTAAAAAGCTATTTTCCTAAAAATTGTTTTAAAAGAAAGATGTTATAAGTTTTAACCAAGAACAGTATTGGATGCTCAGTCAATGAATGCCAAATGTTTCCTTGTAGTGAAACAATGTTACCATTATTGTTTGCTTGTTCTTTTTTTTTTTTCTTTCTTTTTTTAACCAAATTTCAGTCCAAGTATTTCTCTAGTTGGTAGCATTCAGTAAATTTTATATTAACTATGTTAATAAATAAGTACATAACTAAATAATATTTTAAGTTGCCTTTTTCTTTGCATTTGTTGTAGAACCATTGAAATGTCTGTAAAAATAAAAGATTAAAGCAGGGAAATTTTTGATTTTGATAATTGATAATGACACATTTGAAATTCATCAAAAAAATTAGTTGATTTATTTTCATAAATAATTACTATATTTTCTGGTCAGTAACATTTAAAGATTTTGTCACATGCAATATTTATAATTTCTACTTTAACAGGCTACCTTCCATTCGTGGACCTCGAGATCTGACACTGGGAGGCATTCCTAAAAAAGTCTTCACACCAAATATTCCATCTCGGAGAGTAAAGGATGAGTATGTTGTTTTAATCCACTTCAAAAACATTTTTCTTTATTGTTCTCAGTCAAAATATTAATTTTAAAGTCTCATCTAGAATAAAACTCTTAAATCCTACATAGGATTACCAATATCTTCAAAAAAAAAAGGTACTGTATATACTTGTGTATAAGCCAACTTCATGTATAATGAGGCCCCTGAATTTTTTTGCATGAATTTTAACCCCTCAGTAAAAATTTACTTGCAACCAGTCACTGAAAATGCATGATTTTTAACCTCTTCAAAAAAATTACCTATGCATAGTGTGACTTCCTATTTGTTGCATAAAAAAAAAAAAAAAAAAAAAAATGATCATAAAAATTCTTACTATACTCTAGTATATATGGTATTCATTAAATCATGTGTTACTTAATTTTTTTGTCTTTCTTTCTTGTGTGAATTGCTCAGCTTTCTCAATATTAAACAAATGACTTTTTTCTTTTTGGAGCTCAAAAATAGATGTGAAATTAATTTTTTTTTATTAAAATTTTAAAAAGTTAATTTTCTTTATAATTAAAATAAAAATTTTAACTTTAGAATTTTTGCACAAAAATTTTTTTCTAAAATATAAATTAACAAAAATTTAAAGTTTCAATTTAGAATTCTGTGTTTCAGCTTTATTTATTTATTTTTTCTTCAGCTCTACTTCCTCAAGCCCTAAATCAGAAGATAAGTCCAGTCACAGACGTGAACGTAATCACTCAAGAAATGAACGAGGACATGGCCGTGGGAGAGGTCGTGATAGGGACAACTATGTTCAGTCACATTCTATATTTGAACAAGGTCCTTTTGGGGAGTTCCTTTCTCATTCCAGTGAGTTTTTAAGTTTTTGTCAACCATTGATTTCTTTTAAAATTTTCAGCTGTTTATATGATCTCTATACACTCCAATAACAACCATTTGTCTACAATTACCATCAATCACTTCACTGCATTCCAGTAAATTCAGTCTCTTTCTCTCATAAACAGCAATCGGGCCCTATTTCCATCTTTGTTTTTATTATAACAATGTTTTAAACATTGTTCCCTCTAGCCTTTTTCAGGTATCTGTCAATTTGGGTAACTTTCAGTGAATTTCCAAAATTTATTTAGTCTATGGTGGTAGATTGTTCTCATTCCACTGTCCACTAAGGCAGGTTGATTTTTTTTCACTTTTTTTAGAAAATCATCATTACACAGTGTGAAAGCTAGGGTTTGATGTGACAAATACTGATACCAAAGATTAGATTCATAGCTTTTACCAATTTTTGAGCATTTAGTTTTAAAGATTATCTGGAAAAAATATACAAAAAATACCTAATTTCTGCAGGTTTTTGCTTACAAACTGACTTCAAAATGTTACTAACTCAAGAATAAATTCAAATAAAGTTAATATCTTTTTGTATTAGATACATTGAATGAAAAATATATTCAAACCAGATTTCTAATTATAAATCACCACAAGCAAAATATGCATTTTTTTTTTTTTTTTTTTTTTTACTGTATTCAATAAGTAAAAACTGTGGAAAAAAAATTGTAAAAGGTTATAAAAAAGGTGACTCAATGAATAAGATTTGTTAGATCATTTGATAGATCATAATTAATAAAAACAAAAAATAGATAAAAGTGTATATAACACCATAATACAGATGGGCACAAATTATAAGAAAATTTTTAAAATTTGCATTGTCCATTGAAAATCACACTAAAACTATTGCACTGTATAACATATTACATCATAATATAGCTAAATTGTTCAGTATAATTTCCCTTTGAAGTAAATGAAGGTTTTAATTGATAGCACATTTTATAAGGCTTTCAGTGATCACCGAAATGAAATTCCAATGCTACAATTTTGAACCTAATCTTTAAACTCATTTCCTCAAAAAATGGTAAAGATTTGGAAAAAAAAAAAAATTTTCTGTTGTTATTTATCATGTCAAATCCCAACTTTCAAATTGAGTGCAATAACATGGTTCCAAAATCGACCTGCCCTATTGTACACATCTAAGCATATCTCATATTGTTTCTTTTTTTTTTTATTAATGCTCGGTTATTGCTCACCCTGTTACCATTGTATCTGTACAGGCACCTGAAGAGAGCACAATAGTGAAAACAGTTTGGTCATAACAACAAAGTTGAGGACATTAGTGTGAATATAAATAATGACAATAATGATAACTACACATCTCAGAAATTGAAATAAAAAGTAAACAGGTTTGTTTGGCAATTGTAACCTTTACTGCTTCTGTGGGAATGAAAGTTTTTTTTGTTTTTTTTTTGTTAATCTTTAACTCATGTGTAGGTTTTATTAAAGTTCATGTTGATCCTTCTCTCTGTATTAGTGTCATTAATTTATTTACATTGTTTGAATTGTCCTCATCGTTATTGTCATGTAAATGACATTTCGGCCATTGTACTCTCTGGCCTTCTTCAGGTGATATATGTTGGAATTTCAGACTGAATCCTTTATTTCATCCATTGAAGGTAGATTCTTCTAGTTCCATGTCACATCCCTTTTCTAGATATCTTGGTTTCATTTATTTGGTTCAGTTCGAAATTCCAACATATATCACATGAAGAAGGCCAGAGCATACAACATCCCAAATGTCATGAATATGACAGTAAAGATGAGGACATTAGTCTGAACAATGTAAATAGTTACAATACCTCATTTCAGAAATATAGACAGCCATTGTCTTTCTTGGGCTATTTCTGTTTGTCATGATAAGAAACAGTTTTCACTAAACAGAAAAACTGAAACATTTAATGTTTACTTCTCTTAATCTTGAATTTTAATAATTTAAATTGAACAATGTATTATATTCATTATTTTTTCTTTTTTAAACAAAGCTTCTGTTCTCTCAACCTGAAATCATAATGAAAAATTTTATATGATCAAAATAAGCTTAAGTTTTAATTCACAAGTTCCTGTCTGAATTTCTGAAATGAAGATTAATCATTACATACATGCTGACTATTGTCTACTTCTTTGTTGTTGTTGCTATTATTATTATTATTATTGTTATGTGCTGTGTTAATGTTGTGCTGTGGAAGACCACTGTGAGTAAAAAGTGAATGAGACAAAAGCATATCCAGCAAACTTGGTCGTTTGTGTCCACTAAAAATAGAATGTCAAAAGGATAGTTTTTTTCATTGACACCACTATTATTTTCTCTGAATTACCTTCACACCTCAGTAATGTTTATTGATTTAAAAAGCAATGATTAGAATTGTAAAAAAAAAAAAAATAGACATGAAAGTGAATTTATAAATTTTCATTGTTCTTGTGAATTGACAACAAAAATAATAAACACTATTTATTTATTGGGTTGTTTAGTTACACTATTTATTTTTTATACTGTTTATTGGAATGGTTGGCAAAACATCGGCTTTGTGCCAATTGATTCAAACTTTAGTAATTAGTAAATAATAAGGATTTCCTTATTGTTGGTTCACATATTTTAATTTAGTAAATGTTTATAAATCTATGAATAAAAAATTGTTTTCATGTTTATTACTTTATGAATTATTAAATGATAAATATTGCATTGCATTAGTTTTAATACAGTTGTATTAATTTTTTGAATGTTGTAAATTTAAAATTATTCTTGTAAATAAAGAATTTAATAAATAGTGATTAATATTTTGTTGTAAATTCTCGAGAAGAAACAAATATGTATAAATTCACTTTCATCATATATTTGTTTTATTACAATTCTAATCATCATTTCTTAAAACAATAAACTTTGCCACACAGTGAAGGTAATTAAAATAATAGTGGTGTCAATGGAAAATCTGTTCTTTTAAAACTTTTTTTTTCCTGTATTTATCTGTAACAACCCATTGTGGAACTAAGTCTAACTGCTGCTAGTAGTTGCAGGCTGTACACTTTATTAAAACATGATTGGTCTCTGTAAATAGTTACAAGGTAATTAACTCTCTATTTACTAATATGTTGCAATTATTTTTTAAGGCTACATGTTCGCCACTTAAGATTGTCCCCGGGATCAATAGCTCAAGCATTGATTCAGTAACTATGAGTTCAATCCCTGGGCTGGGTGGACTCTGTGGAAACAGGACTGATAATAACTGAGAAGTACTAAATATGAAATAGACCATCTACTTTGTAGATTAAATAAAGGGTTCAAATCAAAATTCCTTGAAATTTACCAGATTGACAAGTACTTGATGAAGGTCAGAGGGTACAACAGCCAAAATATTGTTATAATAACCAGAAAGGTCATGACAATTATCCACATGTAAATAATGTATTCACAAGTTGTTCATACATAGATTAAATAAAGGGCTTAGTTTGAAATTCACTGGAGGTTTCCTCAACTGATAGACACCTAAAAAAAAAGCTGGAAGGCACAATGGCAGAAGCGTTGTGAGAATAACAACAAAAATGATGACATTATTCTGAATGTAAATAATAAGTCTCCCTCCCAGAAATTCAGACATTGTTTATACAAGTATTCGTATCAATGTTGTATCACTGTTATTTGTTGAGTGTTAGTTGAAACACTTCCTGAATTTGTTCTTTGCAGAATTATCAAGTTATCCAAGTGGAAGTATTGGAGAAGGCTCTGGAGGCAAAGCCTACAAGACAACCTTCCATAAAAAAGAATCCAAAGAAGACACTAAAAGAATTTTGGACCGACTCCTTCAAGATGATGTGAGTATTCATCATCCCAGAAATATGATATAAAAATATAATTATATATAAATTATGTATGAATACATAATGTTCATAACATAATCTTGCCAAAGAGTAACATATTGTATGAGTGTTTCATTTACAATTTGGGCCAAAATTTGCTATATGTGCCAGTTAAATTTTTCAATATTAAGAAACCTTTCAAGACATAATAGTCAACCAATATGTATGGCCAAACTTGCTTAATGTAAGAGCCACAAAACATAAACAAAATATGCAGATGTGACACATAGCAGATAAGGCACAAAGGTTTAACAGTGAATGCAAAATCTTCCCTCCACTCTGGCTTAAAATTTCTGTTTCCATCTTCATATTTTTGTTTCTTACAATTTGAAGAAGCCATCTTCCTTCACAAAATTTTCAGACATGTTTAAACAAAACTCGTATCCAAAATGTGCCAACTAGGTCTGCACAATTCAATGTCTTGTGTTACACTGCATTAATGTACATAAGTGCAATCCCCTTAATCCCCTTACACCTGACTTCAGTCTTCTGACATTCCTTTGTAACCCTTGCTGACCAGAAATTTCTTTAATCCTTCTGCTTCCCACCATTCATTCATTAAAGAGCAATGCCTCATTCAGTTCTAGCATTAAAATTAGGATTTAAATTCTTAAATATTTTTACTAACCATGAACATTAAACATAGATTTTAATCCAATGGGGTCTTCATACCCAATAAATAATTATAAAGCTTGAAATTTTTTCCTTGTTTACCTTTTATATTAACTGTGATGGAAAAGGGAACTCAGCCAATATATTTCCACAAGCCGCACATTAAAGGTCAAAGAGCCTCATGTTGCTTGCAAGCCAACCCTGCAGTATAACATGTATAAAATTTCTGATATATAACATGTGTGAAAATAAGGCTATGGCACTATTATAACATGCTTCATAGTGCTTATAATATAAGTAATGCTTTGGCAACTTGCTGTGATGCCTGTATTACTTAGTCTGAAGACTGACTCCAAACAGCTTCTTCATACCTCTGACCTGGAGCTCTTTATAGTTATGGACTAGTTCATATAGTTGCCAGGGGTGTACTATTTACTCTACAATAGGCACACACCTAGAGAAAGAATGGTACTACCAAAGCTGACTGATGTTGGCATTTATGACTTATGAATTATCCAGCATGCTTTAAAATGGCTTGGCCATGAAGGGTGTCAATGATCAAGCAGTCTGAAACATATTTGATCTAACAACTGTTTCTCCTGCAAAGGAGAATACAGATTTTCATCCTGCTAGAGGGTGCATCTTTTACTTTAATAAGTTCTCTCGGGTATTCACACCAGCAGAAACTAAATTTACTGTTTAATAAATAAACAGAGCATCTCCTCAAATATGAGTATAAAAATAACATGTGATAAAATATACCAATATGAACAAAAAAAAAAAAAACTATCAAAAACAGACGTGAAAATAAGGCTGTGATACACACCTAGAGAGAGAATAACACTATTACCAGAGCTTTCTGATACAAACTTGTATGATTTCTTACCTATTTTATTCTTGTTAATCCAAAAGTCATGAAAAATAAAATCCTAAAATACAGAGAGTAGACTCTAAAGTTTATCCTTGCATTAATATAAATACCAACCGGACAACAGCTGTGTGATTTTTATGAAGGTCAATTTAATTTACCAGAAGTATTGTAACAGCCATGTAATAAAAATTCTAAATCAATAAGATATGACATGGAAACACTCCAACGAGTACTCAGGATTGCCTCATCAGTGATGTTATGACTTGGGGTCATTACAAGTTTCAAGTCTTCCAACATCATACTATATATATAGGATTAATACAAATATAAAACTTGTCATGTAGCTGATTGATGTTATGTTCACCACCTCTACTCCAGAGTTTTGCAGACAAACCTTTGAGTAATCATTCAGTCCACTCATCAGCAGTTGTCAGCAGTCTATCTCCGATATCAAGAACTTTATTGCAAAGACTGCTTGACTTAAATGTCTTTTCTTTCAAACTTTCACTGGGTGATAGCATTTCTGGCTTTACACTATCTTTGTTACCACTATTATATATATATAGTCTTATCAGTCTCAAAGCCAGATTGATTTCTTTTTTAAACCATTTCATCTCATGCAAGGCAATAAAGCTGCTAAGATGCAAGGGGTAGCTGAGAGTGAAAAAATATAAGAAAAAGAAAACTTTATTAAGAACAGAGAATAATAAATGAAAATAAATTAAGAAGACAGAGGATAACAATTGATGTTTCATTTAACTGGAAAATGCTTTGTCTTGCTCTTTATCAACATTCTTATAACAGACATGGAAGATATGAAGGCAATGCTGAGCAAGTCTTCATTCTAAACTGGAACTGACATTATATTTTATAACCAAAATTTTTCTAGTTTTCACCCCCTTGACTTCTAGGCCACATCCCTAGTGCTCTCTTTTCACACCCATATGGAGAATTCTTTCTTGGCATTAGACTACAAATTCAAAACACCTAATCTAATACCAGACAAACATCCATTGCTATATTGCTCTACCTGCAACCTAGAGCAATGGCTTCTGTAGATGTCCGTTGTCTGGTGTCACTGGCATGTCTTGTCCAGATAATGTCGGTAAGATACAAACAAATATTTTTAATTTTGGAAAGAAAATAAAGCCAAGAATTCACTTATGTTAATTTTTTTTCTTTTGTAAAGCATACATGTTCCTTAAATGTAAATTAATTTGTTATAAATTTTGTAAAGGAAGAAAAATTATTTGTTTTTAATGCCACTCTGTGGCTTCTTACCACTCCTTTTTATTACTTACACCACCATTTTTCCTCAAATCACCCTTGATTTTTACACCACCCACTTTGGGGATCCCATCTTTAGTTTATGGGTTTTAACACTGTCACTCATTTTAATGTCATTTTTTTCTTTTTAGTTTGTGGATTCAGAGAGCCATGAAGATTTAAGAATGCAACCTGTGCAGTTGCCTCTCAGTAGTCGACTTCTTAAGGTCAAGGAAGAAGTTGATGTGAAACCAGATGTGAAATGTAAGTTAAAATTATTGCTTCATGTTTGGAATTAAACATCTGAACACTATCAGCAATCATAAAATGTTTAAGCTGTACATCCATTGTACTATATATTTGTTCCCAAGATTTCTTTGTATGAGGGGATGCTGAAGAGTTCTTGACCCAATCAAAAAGGGAATGGCTTGGAGCCATAAAACATAAATACTATTTCACATATTCACTCCACAGTTTAGCATACTTGGCATATTGGTTCTGAAGTTTTTTAAACCTTTGGTCATAGAAATATTACTCTGCTCCTACTATCACTTCTGAACCATTAAAAATATTCTCCTTTTCAAACTGCTTTTTAAGTTTCAGAAACAAGAGTCAGATGGAGCAAGAGTTGGTGAGTAGGGAGGACTATGCACTCAAGCCACAAACTCTTAAAAATATTCATTTTGTCAGAGAAGTATTCTTTTTGGTTTTTCTGATAACATTCAGTCATTAAAATATGTTATTTATTCAAAAAGGAAATGTGGCCATGATCTTTCCTTTAATGTCTTTTTCCATAAATAACCCGAGTGCCACCCCTGCATGGGCTGTTTTTTAATCTCCGAGTTTCAGCCATAATCACAAATTCTGAAAATGATGCAAATATCAACTCTACTCAATATCTTTCCTGATGAGTAAATATTAAATATTTTGGTAGCCACTTGGCTGACAGCGTCTACATGTTCAACTGCTCATGAATTATAAACCCAACATATTTCCTGTATATCTCTCATGTCTCAGCATTTCTTTTAGCTGAGATTTATCAATCAGCCAAACTCAGGTCATGAACATGATCAGCAATTTCAAAAGTTGACATGGTTGAGCACCTCTCTAACCATGCTGCATTCTGGATTTCTAAAATCTTCACAATGGAAGTTGACACACCACTTCATCATAGTTGAGTATCGCAGGCAATTGTCACTTAATGCTTGCATCATGCACATCTGGATTTCTTTTGGAGGTTTTTCTACAGGAGCAGGAACTTCATGATGGCCTGTAGTTCAAGACTTGAAAATTCCAAATTTTCTGTTGCTATGATTCAATTCCTAATCTGATACCATGTCAAAAATAAGTGTAAAAATCCTGCAAATTGACATGTTACAATATAAAAAAGCACTCTAGTTACAGTGACAAAATAACTTCTTTGTTTGGAAAGTGGACTTGTTATGTTGTCTTTGTTCAAAATAGCTGAGAATTAGGAAGGCTGTAGAAAGAGTATTGAAGGAACAGACAACTCAGTAGGGAAAACAAAGAAGAGGTTTATTAAATACTCATACAGAGAATGGAAAAACTTGAGTAAATCAACTACTCTTCAAAGATGGCTACTTGCCATATTTATAACTAGGAGCAGTCCATTTGTCACAGTAGTAGGAAACAGAAGGATGTCTGAGTCCTACACTACAACACGATTGAGCCAAAAACTTTACAGCGCCTTTTCGTTTTCTTTGTGATATTGTAATTTTTTTTAAAGTTTAGCTTCATTTTGCATATGGTCACATTAGTATGACACTTGGTGAATAACAGACATTCTAATGCATCGCTCTGTTATAGGCACCCAAGTTGACATTCCCTTAACTAATAGTCAGCACTGAAATAAATTCTAACTAGCAAGAACTTAAAAGGCCAACTTTTTTTTTTTCTTTTAACATTCATCTATATGATAGCTAAAAGTGGACATATAGGCAGTGAAACGGATATCGACACAGAAAGTAGAATCAGTGATCCAGTTCAAATCCTGGCTAAATCTGTTGCATTCACTTTTACACAAATGTTCTTGGGAAAGGCATAAATCCAACTCTTCTCTGCCCAGCTATGAGTTAAGTAGCTGAGTAGATTAAACTCTCTGACCTTGAATAGCAACCAATCTAAGAAAAGGATATCTGTGAAATTCTAAATGCTAGAGAAGGCAACGTGAAATCTTTCCCAAGGATGCATGGCAATTCAAAAATAATAAAAAAATATTTGTGGAGAGTCATGATCGCCTACATCCTAAAGGGGCATAACATTTAAGAAAAATCACAGCTGACACCTAATGTAGATATTTACTATGCCTAGTTTGACGAAGGGACACAATCAGGGATTATCTAAGGGTGATCAAGTTGTTTGTATTACAAGTTTGCTCAGTATTACTCTATTACAGTTGCCAAAGTTTATTCAGATCTAGTATGTCACAAGGCCACAAGAATGAAGAGTTTATAGATTCTAATTTTTTTATAGCTTTTAATCACCAATTAACACTAGTCCTGAATATGACAAACTTCATTCAGCAGCAAGGCCCCTATAGAGAGACTGGAGGTTTTAAGGAGCATGGTAGCACCTGTTAGGATCCCAGCTATGGAAAAATAATGAACCCCCAAACAAAAGCAAAATACTTTTTTATAGTAAAAATACCAGCAATACATTTTTATATAAAAAAAATTACCAACAATACTTGTAGTAAAATTGATAAACAATGCATCTGTAGTTGAAGCCATACAATTGCATTCAAAATATTTAGATTTCAGCATTAAATAATCAATAGTGGTTGATATACCACTAAACAAAATCAATCAAACAACCAACATGAAAGAACTCTTTCATGACATTAATCCATAAAATATTGTACAATTTCTTAAATCAAACTGTATTCCAAAATATAACTTAAACAAATTACAACATAAAACACATATATCACTGCCTCTAGTAATTATGACCACACAAACATGCATATGCATGGCAGCCATTGAAACCAAGGACTTGTGTGTTGGATCATTGTGCAGACAAAACAAAACCCCTTTCATCATTTTTCCCCAGACAATTTGGGTTGAATAGCATTTTGTAACTGCCTCAGTATGTTGGCATAGTGCTCTGTAGTAGTAGTACAAAACAAGAAAAGAAATAAACTAAAAACAAAACTGTCAACTTGAAGTAGCAACAAACGTCTGCAATAGATTTGTCTCTCAACCGCAACTCTTGCAGCCAAATCACAATTCAAATGATAGTCTGTTGTAACAGTCCACCAAACAACGTAATAGTCCATGTCACCTAGGTCCCAGCTGCACTGCTAGCCAATGTCCCAGATGGTTTTCTCCTTCACCCCAAAAAACAGCCAATGCAATCAAAAAAACTCCTGCATTCTGCTCGCTCTCGATCCGCATCCCCTGCTCGTCCTATCAGCATACTAACCGCCACTAGACAAATTGTGTAGTAGTAGCACAAAACAACAAATGTCGGAGAATGCACCCCTCTTCCACAAAACAGTAGCCCGACAAGCAAAACATCCTGGGCGCCCCAACTCTGGCTAGTGCAAACATTTATCATCACATGCTCTCCATTGATGGTGTGGCTCTTTTGAAGATAGTCAATAAACTTAATGCCTTCCCTGCAGATGAAATGACTTTGGCCTTCTTTGGAGCAAGTGAGGAGAGATGTTTCCACTATATGTATTGTCTCTTTGTATTTGGCTCAAAGTGATGAACTCGGCAATCCTCCTGGGTTAAGAAATGTTCAAGGAAACCAGCTGGATCTGCCTCAAACAATGTCAAATTTACCCATGATGTTGTCAGCCTGATGCACTTTGATCAAGTGTCAGAAGATATAGCAACCACCAAGTAGAAACTTTTGTCATGTCAAGTTTATTGTGCAGAATTTTCGACTCTCTCCAGGATATGCTAATAGCATTGGCTATTTGATTTATAGTAATCACCTGTCATACAACACCATGGGGTGAACATGATCAATATTTTCCTCAATGGTGGCTGTTGCAGGATGTTCGAGACTTTGGGTCATCTTCAAGTTTCTTCCTTACCCTCCTAAATTCAGCTGCCCATTTTTTCACTGTGGATAAAGCTGGAGCATCATCCCCTAATGTAGCAATCCTATCAGCATGAATCTCCTTGGGGGCTAAACCCTCTTCCTGCAGGTACTTGAAACATCATGATGCTAAATTTTGTCCATTTTCAAGAAAAGTCACTGCTAGTTACTTCTTTGAACAGTCAGATGTCAGTTTACTTGGAAAGAAACAATGCAGTTATTAATAAGAAGAGTTGAAATTAATGCATACAAGATTTCTCAGCTCTAGTTAACACTCCTTCATAGTCAGCCTATGAACTTTTCAGTCCACCCTCATACATTAAATTCATGGGTAGACATATGTATGCTGACATTGCAGACAAGAAAACATTCTTAGCAAACCTATATACAAAAGGCATTTAAAATCCTTTGGAGTATTTAGAAAAATATTACTTCATGAAATTTGGTCAGTTCTTGTTTATAATGTCAAATAGCTGAGATAGTTGCATATTTCCCATTGGTTTGGGTTTAGATAAAAAACAGGTTTTAAATACTGATTTCCAATGCCTACAGACCATTTCCACTTTGAAAATTAGTATAAAAAGATCTTCTCATTCTTTCCCTTGACATCTGACTTTGTGTCATGCATCCAGTAGTTTAGTCTATCATGATAAGGTTAATGTTCACTCAATGCAAGGTTCGAGAGTCACTCAAGGTAGACGGTTACTGTTAAAATGGTTATGATGAATGAGGTGTGGGATATAAATGGTAAAAAAGATGGTAAGAAATGAAGATTATGAGGATAAGGTGGATAGTTAACAATTGATTCTTGCTTTGAAGTGGTTAAGATTGTAGCGTTCAGGGAAGTGTCTATGCAGGAGTCTGTTCCACAAAGCATCAGTCTTTAGGGAAAAGCTACCTGAGTAGAATTTTCTACTTACATTTGAAATACGGAAGAAATGAGGGTGACTCAACTCTGTGGAAGTAGCATGTGTGCCAAAGATGTAAAGGTCTGAACTGGTGGCACTAAAGAACAGGGCTCATCTGAACATTTGCCATGTAAATAACAATGGAATAGCAACCTGCTTGCAACATTGCAGATCTGGGGGGAAAAAGAGGCTGCAACATGAGATACAGTGAGTTGAATCCTAACTCGGTGGCTCACTGTGCAAAACTGCTATGCTAAATTTTGTAAATAGTCAAGTAATTGGATCGCT